TAAGTCAGCCCATAATTAAACTTGTTTATAATTTATTTCGTTACCAATTTCATAAATCATAAATTTTGTCTCGTTATAAATAAACCAAGATTAAACTTTCATATAATTAATTAATTAGTTCAGAAGTGAATTCTTGATATGTAAATATATAGATATTTTATTTACTAAAATTAATAATAATGATAATAATTTTTTAATTTAATATATGTTATATACTGATATATAATTTTTTTGTTTTTGGCCAAATTATTCTTTAAATCAATGCATGTAAAAATTATTTTTTATTAAGTTATAAATTTGAGTGTAATTAATTAAATAAATAATTTTAAATAATACAATTTAAAAAAAAAAGCAAACAAAAACGAGTTGAACCTTGTGTTTTTTTTATTCTTTTAACAGTTATATTTTACACTTTGACATGTTTACTTTTTTTTTTTTTTTGCAGTGACATACACAATTCTACAGTTATACTCAATTTGTAAAATGAAATTATTAACGATAAGTCTTTGACATTTTTTTAAATATTTTTTTTAGTGTGTCAAATCTCATGTTGGTTCCACAAATTAACCCAGCTTACTCTTTATTAGTAGAACCAATATGAGATTTCATCCAATAATAACGGGTGTATTAAAAAAAGAGAATATCAAAAAGTGTGCTATTAGTGTTTTTTTTTATAGAAACTCAAAAAAATAGAAAATATTATTGTTATGACGATTCATAAATCTTGTTATTTTCTTTCGCATGATAGGATCAATTTTCTAATTTGATTACACCCGCTTTTTTACGAAAGCGTTTATCCAAAACTTAATCCTGTCAACAAAAAAAAAACCAAGGGCTTACCAAAAAATCAATCAACTAAATTTACTGATACGAAGGAAATCATACGAAGCGCTACAGTTTTTTACCGCTCGATCTTCTCGCCGCTACAATTTAGGGGTGTTAACCCGAGCTTTGGTCTTAACGGGTCGAACCTGTGTTTAAATGTATCAGACTGGCCTTAGCCTGTTACTTGTTACGAGTATAATATCAGCTTGTGGCCTGACTCATTTACAAAAAATAAAAGCCTTGTTTAGCCTGTTTAAAAAAATAATACAACAAAAATTTATCTAAACAAAATATACAATCAACAGCACTAGTAATTCCATAAATATTCATAAATTTAATGTATATCCAAATAGTATAATATAAAACAAAATCATTTAAAAAGTCTGTTTAATTAATAAAATGTGATGAACTGGATTGAGAAGAGAAAGAGCTATCACAAGTAGTATAAAAAATAAAAAATAATATATATTAGGCAAGCCTGAGAGGCTCTAAGGCCGAGCTTTTGAATTGGAGCCTGATGTCTTTTTATTAAACGAGCGTTTATACAAATCCAAGCCTGGGTTTAACAATAAATTTTAGACATATAAACTCGTGCCTTCACGAGCCGAACCAAAAACTCATGGCTGGTTTAGCACCCATACGCTGTTTTATTTATTGAAATGCGAAAGCCAAAAGCTCATGAGTGATTTGCGGTTTATTTTGCGTTTTACCAATCATAGTTTAAACCGTCTTAATTTTTTTACATTATAATAGCATTGAGATTTGACTTTATGGTCCCACGTTAATTATTTAAATTCTTCCTCACTATATCCATTCTAATGACTTAATTCTCTTTTAAAAAATACATATTCTTATGTTAAAATTTTGGATTCGTTTTTTCTACAGTTATTGTTGAGGAGATATAAGCTTAATACGTTATCGTTTTGGGGCAAAAGTCACGGTATTTTATAATTTTAATTTATTTTAGAGTTATAATAGTCTTTATATTTAAATTTTTTTAAGATTTTAATACCAAAACGACGTCGTTTTGGAAATAAATGCAGATAACTTATCTGCATTAACTGTAGAAATATTTTTTCCTAAAATTTTATATGATCTCATTATGTTAAACTTTTGTATCTATTTCTTCATATATATTAAATAGATGTAGTCTAATTATCATTAATAAAAAATAAATATAAAAATTTCACATGATCAAATTATGTAAAATTTTAATATGAAGTATCCACTCACATCTTGTTTATTTAAAGGAAAAGAAAAAATGGGCAAGTGATTAAGCATTCATTAATGGACTAATAAGTAATAACCCACAAATAAATATAAAATAAAAATAGGAAGCATAGAACAAGTACAAGGAGGAGTGATGCAATATGCCTCATATGTAGAGCCAGCAAAACAAGCTCAGGTCGGCGGGCTAACTTGTCCCACTAGCTAAACAAGGTGGGGCGAACTGAGTTTTTTAACTTATCTCAAAAGTGGGGAGAGATCATTTTTTGATGGGTTGATGGAGCCGAGGCGAATCATTGTAAAATAGGCTCGGGTTGACGGGCCAATACCCCAGCACGCCAAATTGGGCAAGGTGGGCCGAGTTCTTCAGTCCACTTTTAAAAACGGGGCGGGCTAACTCATTTTTTGGCATGGTGGGACGGGGCGGGGCGGAGCGAGCCTCCCTCCCATTCTGCCACCTCTACCCACATGCAATAGCGTAGGGACTAGGGGTGAAAGTGGGCTGGGCTGAGCCAAACTTTGCCTCGAAAAGTCCAAGTCTATGCCAAAATTTTCAATTTGGTCTGGCCCAAGCCTAGTAAGAGTCTAACTGTTAGCCTGATTTGTACGTTTAAAAAAAACAAATGGCCTGGCCTAACCTGTTAGCATATTAAATTTTAACTTCCAAGCTGAACCATGAATCAACTCCACAAAATACTCAAATTCTGTTGTTAAACCAAAAAATCACAATTTCAACGTCCAAACAGAATCATGAATCACAACAAAACTCATCACAATATGCATTTAAGTCACTTTTAAAAGCAAAATGCTCAAACTAAAAAACATATATTTCATGAGATTCAACAAACAAATCCATACTATGTAAATTAAAATAACTACATGAATCCAACAAATACATCATGATGTTTGTAGTAAGTATAACCTCTCCCAAAAATCTGATATGCTGAGATATTGGTTCCTCCTACATAAGAAATAAAGTTAAATTTATATTAAAATATAATCGAATATAATTCAGTTATAAATAATTGCAATTGATTAAATTTATATCTTTTATTTTTTCTTCAAGGCATACTTATTCTATTCTATTTTATTTAAAATAAATAGTACAGTATAGGTCGCCATGTAGGCTTATAGGCCAGATCTTGTGAAAGTGGGCCTACGATTTATTTATTAAACAAGTTTTTTCAAGATCCAAGCTCAACTTATTTTACGAAATATACTAGGTCAGATATGACCTGACGTAGGCCGAGCCTTAAGCCCCTATAGACTAACCAGGTCCAGTTTCACCCCTGGTAGGAACAACACAGGGCATTTTGGGCAGCTTTTAGGGGGTGTTTGGTTCAAGTTTTTGGAGAGGATTACTGGTAATCTTTCTTTGGTAAAAGTAATTACCACGTTTGGTAGAAGAAATAAATTACGATTCCCGGATATCCAAGGATTACCGGTAATTTGATTTATAAAGAAAAGTCACTATTCAGATTACCAAAAATAATATGGTAATTCGGAATACCAATCAGAATACCAAGTAAAGGGAAAGCACAACAATAAATTTTGAGACAAAAATACCCCAATACACATAAAAATCTAGACCCAATCTATCAATTACAAAAGTAAAAATAGTTTGGGGTTATTTTTGTAAAATAACCTCATATTCCAAGTCATATTTCGTTCTAAACCAAATATGGAATCAGTAATTTTTACCCAGTATTCCCGGTAATATTTTGGCGAACCAAACACATCTTTCGTAAGATTCCAAGTAAACTCAATTTCTACTGAATTCTCATTAATCATGATTCCCGCTCACCAAAAAATTTCTCTTGTACCAAACACACCCTTACGGGAATAACATGGCTGCTCTGCCTCTTCAACTATATAATTTCGTTTTGTAGAGACTAGAGATTCAAACTTTTTTTTGGCTCTACATTAATATATATTAATGGGTTTTCGTTTTATCCTTTAACATAACACAACAAATTTTTCTACACTCACAACATTTTGTGAGGTCCACATTTTTTAAAACAAAAAAATAAATAAAAAATTAAAGCACGCAAAAGGAATCTCTATAACATTACACAATCACTTTTCGTATAACATAACTCTTATAAAACCCTTAATATATCTCTATAAAATTTTACTAACGAGTATTTTATGATTATTATTTAAAAAGTTAATGAATATTAAAGGTCAAATGTTTAATATATTTGAAAAACAAGTTTTTACTTTTAAATTTTAATTCTATATCACGTACTTTAGAGGACGTAGAAAACTTTGACATTGTTTTCCAAAGTAAGACTAGAGAAAAAGAAAGAGAAAAAATTACAATGATCTTTAATTTTTTATTATTTTAATATATCAGTACATATTATTATAATTTAGTTTTTTTTTCGCCATATATACACACACATCAGAATTTATTCATATTGAATATTAATAGTTTTTAATATAATTATTGCAAAAGTTTATTAGTATTGTAATATATATGTTTCAATTATTATATAAAAATAAATTAAATTATGTTAAATAATTATTTATAAAATGCACAAAAAAATAAAAGTAAAATGAAACATATATCAAATTGAATACATTAGAATTAAAAACTTAAATTAGTTTTTGAAGTGAATGTCTCATATCATTGAATCCGAGACACCACATGTGGTAATAGCCTTTAGCATGTGGATGTAACTCCGTCAGTAACGGACACGGATGAATCTTGGTTCGTGCAGAATGGCAAGACATAGTAAATAAAGTGGAAAGCGAAGGCGAGATAGATAAAGGAAGGAGAAAACTTTGCATTTGTTTGCAAAGCTCACGAACTATGCATTTTCATTTTGGTACGTAATAAAAGAGAAATAAGGACCCCCCCGGAAACTTTGGTTTGGGTTGGTGAGTGCTTGCTTCTTCCTCCTATATATATATATATATATGTACACAAACATATACACACCCACACGCACACAGACACCAACACCTGCATGTAAGGCTCTCCACTCAATCCCCCCTCTTTTCTCTCTCTCTCTCTCTCTCTCTCTGTGTGTGTGTGTGTGTGTTTCTCTTTCTCTCTCTCTCTGCAACCTTCTAAAGATTCTCTTTCTTTCATTTGTGCATAACACAGCAAGAGAGTGCGTATTGGATATTTGGAACCGCTAAACTGAGATGGCAAAGAATGTTGGGATTCTCGCTATGGACATCTACTTCCCTCCCACCTGTGTTCAGCAGGTGAACACGCATCTCTCTCTATAACCACTTCCGTTTACTTGTTAATTCCATTTTTCTTTTCATGTTTGGAGAATCTGACGAATCAAACGGCGTTGACCATAAGAGAGTTTCTTTGTACTAATTGATGTTTTTTTGTTTTCCTTTTCTGAAACAAACGAGAAAACCGACCAAGAACCTGAGTGAAATTTCGTATTCGGTTTTTTTTTTTTTCGAAGATTCGGGAACAATACTGCTTCGGCGACAAGAACAATAAAAATGTTTAAGGATGTTTTAGCCAGGGAGATTTGCGATATTCTTTTATTATTTTTATTTCTTTTTTTTAATTCACAATTGAAAGGGACTGGGGCATAATCAAAGGCAGGGTTTCCAGTTTTCATATATTGTTCTGTGACATAACTCGGTTTTCTATGGGAAAATCATGAGATCCATCTTATGGCTTGTACGGTTCCTCCATTTAATGATTGGAGGAGGAAAGAGAATGCACAGAACATATTGACATATTGTTGGGCGATTATTATGGCTTGTGCGGTTTCGAGCTATATCCATGCCATTGTTTTGTTATCTCACTGATGAAATTGAAGTTACTTCAACCTTTTTCTTTTTCTTTTTTATTTGAAGTTATGTTTTCCGTTTCTTCACTTATGTGTTCATGCAGGAAGCAATGGAGACTCATGATGGTGCCAGTAAAGGGAAATATACTATTGGACTTGGACAAGATTGCATGGCGTTTTGTACAGAGTTAGAAGATGTCATCTCAATGAGGTTTGTTCTTTGGATATGATAGTCTCTGTTATCATAGTAGTGTAGGGGGAGCTTGACAAAACATATATAATATGAAGAGATGTTCAAGTCTTATTCTTTTCCTTTTATTTTTTCTTTTATTTTGTATAGGTAAATCTTGTATTATAGTAAAAATTATGTCATCTACGCAAAAAATTTCAATAACTCTAGAGGGTATCATAACTCAAAAGATCTATAAATGCTAAAGTAACTTTCACAACTTACAAGCTTTACATAATTGTTTGTGGGAATCCGTTACAGAAACATGTGAATCAGTGTTCTGGTAAATACCACCCATGATGAAGATTCAGCTCCTACCAAATGTTGTCATGAAGAATGGAACAGCTGAACTTATCTTGATTTTATCATGAACCATTTACAACCATGTGAAGGCGATGAGTTTGATGCATTATTCACAAAAAATAATTCAATTTCAGATTATTATTGTTATTTTAATCTTCTGGAGTCCTTTAGTCTTGATGTATTTTTTCACTCTAAACCGCTTGTATGACACTAGACATACCCTACTGAAGCCAGCTTGATATATATTATTATACTCTGCTTGCTTCTTTCAATGTTTTAATGTTCAATAAGACTTTGGTTCTGAAGATTTATCTTCAATCGATCATCTTTCCTAGATTCATCTCTTGAAGACTGACTCTTGCTGCTTCAGTTTGACAGTAGTTACTTCACTTCTGGAGAAGTATGGGATTGATCCTAAACAAATTGGTCGTCTGGAAGTAGGCAGTGAAACTGTGATAGACAAAAGCAAATCCATCAAGACATTCCTGATGCAAATCTTTGAGGTATCCTTTCAGTGTCAACCTACATGCATAGATGATTATCTTTGTTGTAGTAGACAGAATTTCTTCGCCATGTGAGAGTAGTTTAAAAAATCAACTGATTTAAATACCTAATTATTGATATGGAATAATTCAACTTAGTTTCAACTTTCAAGTATTTAATTTCGGATTGGAAGCTCTTTAGCAGTCAATCTTGGGTATATCAAACATAGAGCATAACTAAAGTGGTTCATAACTAGCTTGGCTCTTTTCATCTTGATTCTACACCCAGAACAGATACTAGGCACCTTCATCGTAATGGAATTTACGTAATGTTCTACTTTTTCAGATGCAAATATGTCTGTATTGTTAATAATCATATTATGTTGGTTCTGTTATACTAGGACTTTGTTGATCAAACTATCTATTTCTGTAGCTTTCTAATATAATATTCATTTATATGTCCGAAACAAGCAGAAATATGAAAATACTGATATCGAGGGTGTGGATTCAACTAATGCATGCTATGGAGGAACTGCTGCTTTGTTCAATTGTGTCAATTGGGTGGAGAGCAGCTCATGGGACGGACGCTATGGACTTGCTGTCTGCACTGACAGTGCTGTAAGATCATTTCCATATTTATGGCCTTTGGACTATATTCAGTAACAGTTAACATGTTTTGAACTCCATTTAAATGTGCAATTCTATAAACAATAAGTTATGAACTCGAAGATACATATCGTAGATTCCATTGTATAGTTTGGGTTTGTCTCAACTCAAGCATGTCTAATTCATGAGTTCCTTTCTCAGGTCTATGCTGAAGGACCTGCTCGGCCTACTGGTGGAGCTGCAGCTATTGCCATGCTAATTGGTCCAGATGCTCCCATTGCTTTTGAAAGCAAATTGAGGGGAAGTCACATGTCTCATGCCTATGATTTCTACAAGCCTAATCTTGCCAGTGAATATCCAGTAAGCTGTTCAGTTTCTTTACATTTCTGTGTCAGAGAACTTCTGACTATGGGATCATATGTTTCGAAAACTAGCTTCCATTTTTTCCTATTAATATCAGATCAAAGAAATCATTGCAACTTTCTTTTGGTTGGAGAAAGTGCTATGAGGGATAGCAATTACCTGTGTTCATTCTTCTTTCGAAATTTGACTCATAACCCACTGATAGCATTTAGGTTGCCAACTAAAATAAATCCATGTAATTTATGTTTTATAGGTTGTTGATGGGAAGCTTTCTCAAACTTGCTACCTTATGGCCCTTGATTCTTGCTATAAGCATTACAGTCACAAGTAAGCTTCTACTGTTAATATAGTTCTTATGAAATTTGGGGTATAAATATTAACCAAGTACTTTATCATATTGCTTTTTGCAGATATGAGAAACTTGAGGGAAAGCAATTTTCTATTTCTGATGCTGAATACTTTGTATTTCACTCACCTTATAACAAGGTAGTTTAGGCTATAAGGATCTCATTTAATATCCCAACTTCCTATGACACCTAAGAGTGCTTTATGTAAAATGTTTTTTCTGTATCTCATTCATGATTGTATTTACCTTAATTGATATCTACATATGTATTTCTTTAATATTTGTGTTTATATATCTCTGTAACACTTTTGAGTTACTGCAGCTTGTACAGAAAAGTTTTGCTCGTTTGGTGTTCAATGACTTCTTGAAGAATCCAAGGTTCTTTTCATTTTTCCGTCCTCTGGAAACTTGTTTAATTTTAATTGTTTCATGAATTGGTGTTTAAAAGTTGATTATGATTACAGTTTTGTGGATGAGGTTGCCAAAGAAAAGCTGGAACCTTTTGCAACATTATCTGTTGATGAGAGCTACCAAAGCCGGGATCTAGAAAAGGTCTGAGAGCAGAGCTCTGCCTATAGTTTGGGAAGTTAAAAAAATAAAATAAAATAGTCTCCTGTTTCTTTTAGTAACTCATTTCTTTTCCATTTTTCCTTTGGGTTGGAGAGAAAAGTTGTGATTTCGCATTTATGCAATTCTATTAGAAATCGACAATTTGAAACTTTTGCTGATGGTGTGCAGTGTTCTTGATTTTCAGGTATCCCAGCAAGTTGCAAAGCCTCAATATGATGCAAAGGTGCAACCAGCCACTTTGGTACCGAAACAAGTTGGCAACATGTACACTGCATCTCTATATGCAGCATTTATTTCGCTTATTCACGACAAACATAGCACATTGGTGAATGTTCTAAACGCTACCTCAGTCAAATATAAGCTTCTTCACAACAAAGGTTCATGCTTTCTGATAAAGATTTACAATTTACAATTTACAATTTTCAGGCAGGTAAGAGGGTGATACTGTTTTCGTATGGAAGTGGCCTAACTGCCACCATGTTTTCTTTGCAATTACGTGAGGGTCAACATCCATTTAGCTTGTCAAACATTGTTAAAGTGATGGATGTTGATGGAAAGTTGAAGTCAAGGCATGAGGTATTGAACTTTGAGAATCTTACAAAAATGGAAGTATTCCACATATGCTGTCAGATTTAAGTTTTACTTTGAACATAGCTGCATGCTCCAGGAATATATGAATGCATATTTATTTGGCCATAAAGGAAGCCTATGTTTTTCTTGATAAATTTCTAAGTGGATAGAGATACAAATTAGTAAGCCACTAGGATTGGTCTAGTGGTGAAAGGTTTGAGTAGTTTATATTAGGTTATGTGTTTAATTCCCACCATTGTATCCAAAAAAAGAAAGAGATACAAATTAGTTTTTGGAAAATTTCTTGTTTTATTTTTCTGCCTTCTAGTTGTGTACCTTAAGAAATTTTGAAGACTTGGAAAATTCCTTTTTGTGGGCTATACAATTGAATTGACTTCTGATGAGTACAATATTTTATGCAGTTTCCTCCAGAGAAGTTTGTTGAGACCATGAAGCTAATGGAACATAGGTATGGTGCCAAGGAGTTTGTGACAAGCAAGGACACTAGCCTTTTATCTCCAGGCACATTCTATCTCACTGAAGTTGACTCCATGTATAGGAGATTCTATGAAAAGAAAACTAGTGATAGCGGTTTGAGTCCAGCAGAAAACGGTTCAATTTCCAATGGTCACTAATGTTAACATCGACAACGTGTAATGCCTGGAAGGCTTGAAGTCAATTGTGCTTAGTATCGTTTAGAAGGCTGTTCTTCTTTGCTTTAGTTTTTGTAAGGGAAGACAAATGAATTCCGTGGTGGACAGGGTTGTACCTTCAAATATTTTACCATGTTGTTACTCTGAACTATAAATAATTCCACAGCATTTTTTTCCAGCAATTATACGTTTGCATATGATAGTAGAGTGAAAGGTTAGAACTTAGAAGTATCAATTTCAGTACGTGGTACAGTTACCATTAGCTACCATTAGCGAGGGTGTTTCCAGTTTACACTTACTTTTGAAGCAATAATTGATTAAATTTTTTAACTATTCATAGTTAGTCTGCGATTATTTTTCACTTTTTTTTATTTAATGAAACTACTATGCAATTATTATAAATTTTACATTATAATATTTATAAATAGGGATTAATATTTTTTTTATAACATGAAATAAAGTTATCTCTTATAAAATAAAAATAAAGTTATTTTGAAATTTGAGTAAAATAAATATAAGACATTTTAATAAAATTTATAATACAAGATTAAATTAAGTTTATTAAATATCTTTTTTTTTCTGAAACCATGAAATAATAATGTTTTGGAATTGTAAGAAATAAATTATTTCATGTACAACGGGAAAACCATTCCTTTATGAATATCTCAAAATCGCATATATGAATCCATAACCATAAAAAAAATTCCCATCAGTTGTGCTGTATTTTAGGATTGACAAAAACTAGTTTGCAACCCGTCCTAAATGAGTCGGGTTGGGTTGACTTAAATGAGTTGCCAACTCGATTCAACCTGACCCGATCCAACCCTAACTTAAACGAGCCAGTTCGCGGGTTGGTTTTTTTTTATTAATTTTTTTTATTAATTTAATTAATAATATCGTCACTTTCTTTCTTGTTTTTTTTTTTCCAAGTCCAACCCTAACGAGCTAAATTAGCTAATTTGCCCTTTTTGCCCAACCGAACGGCCGAACCCATCTCACTCCAGTCCACAAGCCGATAGCAGCTGCGAGCCTGCGACCATCACCATCCTCGGACAGCCCTTTGCATTTGAAGAACCCTGCTACCATCACTATCACCAGTTCACAGTAAGGTCTTCTCACTTTGCTTTTTATTTAGTTTACCTTTTTGCTTTTTATTTAGTTTACCTTTTCTTGGACAGATTCTAGCAGTTAAAATGCTTTCCGTTATTTGTAATTTGAGTGTTTTTTTTAATTTGGTACAATTTATTTGAATGCTTTTGTTTGGCCTATTTTGCCGATTTGAGGACCGTGTCTTTAGCGGAAGACCTCGTTGCCTTCAAATCCATGATATCTGTTTGCCAAGTGCTATAGTCTACTACATCGTTAGCTGCCAAGGTTGTGTTTATTCTTCTGAAATTGCTGATTTGTTTGTATCTTTGAGCTTTGCTTCATAAAATTGCTGAGTTAGGTGCTACATAAAAATGGTATCACATAGCAATATAGGCTTATTGGCATATAAGAAAGGGTTGGGGGTTGAGAGATTTTATATATGAAAGGTTAGAAGGGCATGGGTATCTTTGAACTAGCGAAAGTCCATTCTTTCATATGAAAAATATTTTATTAAAAAATTTTATGCAGATTTTATCATTTAGAATTTTAGATTTTAATCAGACATAAGAAATAAACATTAATTAAACAGTGATAAGGAGGAGGGAAAGAGGATAGAGAGAACAAAAACCACTGATAATTTATTTATTTTCGTTGCAATTAAAATTTCATTTTCATTTGTCATTGTAACCTTAATTGATTATTTACATTTTATGGTTTGTGTTTTGTAGATGATGATGATGATGGTATTTCCCATATATTAGCTTCTTCACGGGGATCTAATGGTCATGAAACGTTGTAGATGATCTAATGATGATTGTGTACTTTTGGATGTTTAAATTTTGATATTGTACTGTATTGAGGAACTCATAGGACAATTTTTATTTTGTAATATGTTTGTCTACTGCTATGTTGGGATTTCTTAATTTATGTTATGTTTTATTAGTTAGTTTCTTTACACCATTATCCATTAGGCAATCAATAGTTTTGGCAGTGTTGATAATTTTATGCAGTGTTGGAGAACAAATAAGACTAGTTCCACAAAAATCAATTTTTTTGAGCCAACCCGCGAGCCAATATTTCGAGCTAACCAACCCGCGAGCCAACTCACTAGCATCATTTCGAGCTAACCTGCGAGCTTTTTTGAGCCAACCGCGAGCTTTTTTCTTAGCCAACCCGCGAGCTGATTATCGAGCCAACCCGTGAGCCAACCCTAACCCGGCTCGGGTTGGGATGGGTTAGGTTTTCTGGCTCGTTCATTTTTTCGGGCCAACCCTAACCCGACCTGATTTTTACAGGTTGAATGCGGGTTGGGCCGGATCGAGCCGGATTGGCCCGTTTTGCCAACCCTACTGTACATACAATGGGTTTTATTTTTCTTATCTCATATAAGATAAATTTTTTCACATACTCTCATAATAAATGATGGAACCCATTTTATTTTTTAAAAAAGAAAAGAGAAAAAAATAGAACACGAAATTCGAAATGAGAGTAGGAGATAAAAATTTTCTTATGTAAATAAAACCCATATACAATCACGGTATTTGTTTGGTGAATTTTTTTGAGAAAGCTAGAAAAATGATAGATGGGGTTGACAAATAATCATGTTTGGTATGAAGTAGAAAAAATTTGCCTAAAAAAAATGATGCAAAATTTTGTAGTGTAAAAATGAAAGAAAATGTCCACTTGAAAATAGCACCTTGACAGTGATATTTTGATTTCCCCAGCAAACTCAAATTTATAGTAATTTTACACCAAAAATTTTTCAGTAATATTTTAGCTTATCACATAATTTTTTTTTTTAAAATCACTTTTCCACTATTTTCTTACTAATTATATTTCCCTGCTAATTTTTTTTTTCCTTCTCTATACGGCCGCTAATAAATTAAATGCAGCAGGGGTGTAAATGAGCTAGGTCGGCCTACAGGGGCCTACGGCCTAGCCTATATTAGGCCAGACTTGGCCTATTATAAATAGTAAAATAGAATAAGCCTAAGCTTTTTAAAAATACCTATTTAGAAAATAGGTCATAGGCTTTTTTGTACATGTCTAGCCTATAAGCCTATAGGTCAGCTTATATCATATTATTTATTTAAATTATAATAAATAAAATTATTATTTTAATAATTTTGAATAATAAAATAATAATATTTTAATAATTTTGAATAATAAAATAATATTATTTTAGTTATTTTTTTAATTGTTGAATGTTTAATAGGCTTAAACAGGCTAACAGGCCTAGGCCAAGACATTTATTTTTTAAATATAGGTCAGGCCAGACTTGTAATTTAGGGCCTACACAGACTAATAGACCAGACGATACGCAATACTTTTTACACAGAAGTAACCTATTTAAACGAAAGAACAGTTCAGTCCATTTACACCTGTAACGGTCGGTCTCAAATCTCAATCTTTTGCTCTTCAATCCAATATAACCCACGAAGTTCTCTGCCCGCAATCCATTAACCCAAAACCCACGACCCGCATCTCTCTCGTCACGCGACTCAAACCCTAGCAACCTTCCCCAACCTGAGGAAGAGGAAAGAGATGAAAACGCAGGTCAGTGAAGCACAACACGAAGATGCAATTTGAAAGCAACTCAACTCATCCTGCTCCATCTTCATTTTCTAGAGATTGATTTTTTTTTTATTTTGTGATTGGGATCAAGGACCATTGATTTTTCTTATAGGGAAAACCATGAAGCTTTCCTTCTCTCTCCCTTCAAAATCCTCATCGAAATCGAACCCTATCAAACCCCCTTCAACCAAACAAGACGATGATGCAAAATCCAAAGACTTGATCACAGAATTCGACCCTTCAAAACCCCCAACAGGTCCCAAATCTCAAACCGTCATCATTCCCCCAATTCAAAATCAATGGAGACCATCCAAGAAAATGAAGAATCTTCACCTTCCCATCACCGACCCCAACGCCTCCACAGAATCCCTAGGGTTCGAACTCGACACCTCGTCCGCCGCCGCCGAACCCGGCTCCGGCATGTCTTACGGCCTCAACTTCCGCAGCCACGATGCCTCTGAGAAGAAAAAACCTGATGATAGTGATGATGGTGATGATTATAGGCATCGAGTTCCTCCGCAGAAGGTGCTGCTGCAAAAGTTTAAGGATGATTTGAAGAGGTTGCCGGATGATGAGGGGTTAGATGAGTTTAAGGATGTCCCTGTCGAGGGTTTCGGCGCGGCGCTGCTTGCTGGATATGGGTGGTCTGAAGGGATGGCAATCGGGAAGAAAGCAAAGGAGGATGTGAAGGTGGTGCAATACGAGAGGAGGGCAGGGAAGGAAGGTTTGGGTTTTGTTGGTGATGATCGTCGGAGTAAGAACAAGAAGAAAGATAAGGAGGAAGGCGAAGGAGGAACAAAGGAGAGTGGGAAGATCGTTAGAATTGTTGGGGGAAGAGATGCTGGATCCAAGGCTAGTGTTGTTAGGAGTATTGGGGATGATTGGCTTGTTTTGAAGATTTCCAGGAACGGAGAGCAAGTGAAAGTGAAGATGGATGATGTTGCTGAATTGGGGTCCATAGAAGAAGAGAGGTGCTTGAAGGAATTCAAAATTCAACGTGATGATAAGGATAAAGGGTTGAAGAATAAGCATAAGCATGATAGGGATGATGAAATGAGAGGGCACGGCGGGGTTAAGGTTCAAGAGAAGAAGAGAGTGGATGTTAATGGGGATCGTAGGAAGGACGAACAGGGGAAGAGAAAGGTTTCTTGGCTTACAAATCACATTCGGGTTAGGGTGATTAGCAGAGATTTCAAAGGGGGGCGGTTATATTTGAAGAAGGGAGAGGTTTTGGATGTTGTTGGGCCTAGTACTTGTGATATATCTATGGATGAGAGCAAGGAGATCGTTCAAGGGGTATCCCAAGATCTTCTAGAGACGGCTATCCCTCGGTGTGGGGGACCGGTTCTTGTACTGTATGGTAAACATAAGGGTGCATATGGGAGGCTGATTGAGAGGGATTTGGACCGCGAAATCGGCATTGTTCGGGATGTTGATACCCATGAGCTCCTCAATGTGAAACTTGAACAAATTGCAGAATATGTAGGGGACCCAAGCTTCTTGGGACATTGATTCTGTTGTATCCATTGCAGTGTAAGACTTCCATATATGGAGCAACAAATTTACAAGTTTGCATCTTGAGAGTCCCAAATGCGTTTTCTTTTTTTCTTTAACACCCAGATATAATTTTAGGATTAATTTGTATGTGTTACTTGGCAACTTTTCAGATTGAAGCTTTTTATTTTGGAGGGTTGGTTTTCATATATTGATTGAACACTAGTGTCAGACAAATGACTTTCTGTTTTCTTAGTTTTGTTAACTAGTCATTATCTATGTAAATAGGCATATCTTATATTTTAGTTAAGTTATGATTATCATTGATTGATTTGGGTATGATTTCATCTCAACCTTTAGTGGCTGCAGTGTAGCCATTATTGTTGTCGTTGCACTTGTAGTATATTCTAGTTAAGTAGTGAGCACCTCAGTGGATTCTCTAGTAAGTTGAATACATTGTCGGATTCTTATGGATGAAATACCCATCAGAACCTTCAGATCAGATAAAAAAAAGACTTGTTTGAAAACTTCTATGAACTGATGTTATGATCTAGTCTAAAGAGTTTGAATCATTCAAAATTTTGTCATTGTAAGTTTATATTGGTCGGTAAAAGTGCATCCTATGAAGCACCGACTCCGACACGGCGTTTTCGATACGTTCTCGATACGACTGTTAATTCGTTGATACGATGCAATACGTTTCCGATACTATCGGATACGTTGGAAAAAAAATTCGGAGTATCGGTGCTTCATAGAGTGCATCCATCATCTAATGTCATCATTGTCATCTTAAGCATTGTTCTTTAAAATTATCAAATGGTATTGATTCAGGAGCTTTGGAAACATTTCTCCATAAAACGTGGTCCATTAAGAAAATAAGTTGCTGCTTCTGTGGTGCCTTTCGATTTATGCCTTTCGATTTAGTAAAGCTGAATTCGTGCAAGGCAACCCTTATTTTTTAATTAAGGATCTGCTGCTAAGCTAACTGTTGTACGTCCTTATTTCTCCTATATTTGTAAATAGTTTATTTCAAGGTCGATTCCATTTTCAGTTTAGGTATATTGGCTTTTCTGCTTAGTTCATTGTTTTTTATTTTTTTATTTTATTTTTTCATTATTCATTAGAACTTGGAAAGAACATTAGTCATAGACAGTCAGTAATGGTCACCCAAATTGGGGATAACTTTTTATAAGCAATTTACTTAAGAAGTCCGTGTAAATTCTTGATCAAAACCTCATTTAATTGTGGGAAATAAAAGAAAGCATTACTTAACTTTACGTCAATAGTTTTACCTCTTTCTGTTTCTGTGTTTGTTGAAAGAGGTTTATTATTATAAGTAAGATCTCTGAACCATTATTTCTGTAAACAACAATTGTATATGAAGTGATTGGTTTTTCTTTTGCTCTTTTCTTTGTCTTATGTTTCAAATTACGGAGTGGAACATACTAGATCCTATTATCACCTCTAACTAAATAGTGTCTTGAATTTCATTTATATGAATTGAGTGTGGAAGATTTGATATCCTAAATTATCATTGACTATCACTAAGTAACATTTCAAATATAGTTAAAATCTTTGATTAGTTGTGCTGCAGAAGCTATGCGACGACTTAGAGTTCGTGTGTTTGAGCTTAATTTGCATGAAAGTTATTTTTTAATTAATAAAAGAAACATTTCTCGAATTTTTTGAATCATTTGGATAAGATTTTTGAAAAGATCAGAATACAAAATATAATCTGTTCTCTGCCTTTTTTGAGAAGTTAGTAATTGTAACTTTCTTTGTACTAAAATATCAAAACCCAAACCAAATGGTGGTAGCTCAGTTGGCGCATGGAAGCTAAGCAGGTGGGGGTGAGAGCATGTATTCGAATCTCCCCAGTACTATCTTTGGGGAGGGGTTTAAAGCCTTAATCCTGGATCCGCCCCAAATCGGATTAGTTGCGAAGCAATGAACCGATTGAAATATTTTCAAAAAAAATATATATATATCAAAACCCAAACTCTAAATGATACAGTTGTCATGTGATCCTCGTCACTGCTAGACACTACCACTTCATTCCGTCAATAGGTTAGATTTCAATTTTTATTTTTATATTTTTTCAAAACAGCCTGATTTCCACAATATTTTAGTCAGGATTTTCTTTTCCTATTTTAACTCTTGAAAATTTAATAATTTGATGATATTTTGGGACTGAATTTGGGGTTTTGGTGGATGGGTGGTGAGCATGTTTGTGTTATTCACTTATTCTGTTGAGTTACTGTGTTTCGGGCTATGGGGTTTGCCTTCTATGTGTTCCTAGCTCCTATAGTTAGAAAGATGTCTCAGTATGTTGCCATGGACCTCTACGTATCGCTGGGACCCAATCTTCCATTTTTCTATGCCATTTGAAACTCATTTTTCTGCTTTAAGTTTGCGGTAAATGGGATGAGTTCTATTATTGATTTGCTTTCTGATTAATGTGTTTGATTTCTTATGTATCTGGGATGTTTATCTCAAGTCCAGGTTCCTTCTCATTATATACCATTCTTTTTAAATTGTCATGGAGCTTGAGGGTTGAATGAACATTGCTATGAAGCTGTCTCTGTACCATAGAAGGGTCATTTGGTTGCTTGTTATCCCCCTTAAGTCTTTCCTTCACCCCAATCCTTATATCCATTTTTAATTAAGTATCCCCTTATAAATATCTGATCCTGTATGTAACATAAAGCAAAATCCTTACGTAGTTCTATTAATGAAGTTGAGACTGCAGCAATTGTCGTACATCAGTGGACTTGGATTCACTATTTGGGATCTGTTGGTCTGCCATCATCTACAGATGATGGTGTGAACCCACTTTTTATGCTGTCATCAATTTTTGCAGTATTTTTACAGCTGATTGCATTAGCACGTTTTTACATGTAGCCTCGTGGGAGAACTTGCTGATCTTCTGGCATGAACTTCACTATCAGGTTTCTGTAGTTGGCCTAAATAGTACGCACTATTTAAATCCACTAGATACCTAATACAATGTCTAAACTATTGATCTCTAGGATGTAGAAATCCACCATAAAGTTGCGGTTTTGTTTGGTGATCTTTAGTTTTTAGCCCTTTGAGTCAGACATGATGCATTTTACTAGTTTACGTCGATTTGTCGAATTTGTTCCCTATACTAATGATAGCATAAATACATTAATATTAATTTTGGAAGATGGGCTATTTTTGCACTCTTTCTTAGATCGGTTTGGTCCATGTGTCAAAGGATTTCTTATGTACTTATCCAAAAAAAAAAAAAAAAGTATTTCTTATGAATTAACGCAAGAAAATCAATTTTTTTCATATTGGTGATTCATTATATATACTCACTGTTTTCATCAGCAGTTATTTATTGTTCACTTTTCAAAGCTTTATATCCCAGCTCCACATTAAATAGTAATTCTGTTTTAAACAGTATAACTCTGTTAGCTAATTAACATGACAAGAGCTTGAGGAAGTTATCAAATTGCGGACTGCAATTGCTACTTGCCTACTTAAGTAGTATACATGACCACATGAAGCAACAAGTTTTGGCTGTTAATGAAGAGATGTATAATTACTTGAATTAAATTTTTGTTGAAAAAAAAACAAGAAACAAAGTAATATCTTTTAATAATTTATCTAAAAGGAATTTTGTAAAATCCATTTCGAGACACTATAATTAATTATTAGCTTTAATATTTCAACAATGAATGTAAAATGTTATCTACATTCACTCTTAAAATGATGTCGTTTTGGGTTGAAAAATTAAAAAATTATAATGAGAAAGACTATTATAACTCTGAAATAGATTATAATTACAAAATACTTGATTTTCGTTCCAAAACGACGTCATTTTGGGTAAGGTTGGCAAAACGGGTCAACCCGCATACAACCCGCATACAACCGCAAACGATGTCATTTTTGTCTTTTGTACAGTAGGTAATCGATTACCATTGAGTGAGTAATCGATTACAATGAAGGGTAATCGATTACCAACCTGTTGACAGGTTGGATTTCGCCCTAAAATGGTTTTCTCTTAATTCACATCAGTTTCAAATATTGTTTAAACATTTTATGAACATTGAAAATTGTATTTTCATGCTAGGAATGTATTTGAATGTCAATTGGTGTTTTAATGCATGTATTTAAAAAATACTTTGAGCTTCGTTCTTGTAAGGAATCAATTTACAAATAATCCTAAGTCCTATAGTATATTACTCTGAGTTTGGACTTAGAAAGTTCTCTTGAAGCTTGAGTCTTGATCTTGTTTAGACTTCTTTTTTATGGTTGCACCTTGAAGCTTTCTTTCCATGCTTGTTTGTTATCATCGAAATCGTTGAATCTTTATATTCTTTTCGTAGAGTGCATTGGTTCCACAATTTTATCCAGGGGAGAGTCGCAGACTATGTTACATCTTAAGGCTCTTGGGACTGGCAGAAAATCTCAAACTTTGTTACCCTTGAAGTTAAGAATGTCATTGGTAAAATGATGCCTACAAATCCCGAAAATGGTGAAGATGGGATTTATTGGAAAGAGACCAATGATGGTTGTTACTCCATAAAATCTGCTTACAAAGCTTTAAAGAGAAACGATGGAGACCAGTCGAGGGTGAATTGGAAAGCCAATTGGAAGTGGGACGGACCTAGTAGAATTAAAAGCTTCCTTTGTCTTTTTGCAGGGGATAATCTGATGAGAAGCTAGCAACGTTTTAACAGGCATTTTGTTGTTACGAATAGATGCCCTCGATGCCAAACTCATCCGGAAAGCTTTCTCCATGTTATTCGTGATTGTGTTTGGTTTCAAGGTGTATGGAAAGCTTTGACCTATCCCAGTAAGTGGCTCTCTTTTTGTTCGAATCCCTTAGAAGATTGGATAAATGGGAATCTACAAATTGAGGCTGATGACTGATATGCCTCCAGCATATATATGATTTTAAGCCAAAAAGAAAAAGAATCTTGATCAATCATGAATAAAAAGGGCTATAATTGCTATTAAATTAATAAATCTCAACCAGATATCTTGTCACTGATTTTCTTATATTTTAGTAGGAAAACAGACAAGAAAGGAGCCCAATTGAGTAGCAGAAGGAGTCATAGTAACTGATCACTGTGCTACTAGCGTCGATCTGGCGCTGTTAGCGCTAGCAATACGTTTTGACACAGATCCACCACGCTACTAGCGTGGCACTGGCGCTATCAGCGCCAGCCAATTTCGCCAACCGCGCTATCAGCGTGGGACTTACGCTAGTAGCGCGAAGCTGCTGTATGGAAGACAACACTCCCACGCTATCAG